TGCCAGTAATTCTATCGATCATCGACTTCCAAACTCTCAGAGGGTAGGTTTGGCGAGCTGTGGAGATCATGGCCTTTACTAATCCTTCTCTGATTGAAATTATGGAACCACATTCCTGTGGCTGTCCGTTTCAGTTTCACTTGATTTAAACACTGTGGCTCTATAAAATGATGCTGAATCTGCCATTCTACAGCTGTCTCAGGGATGGTGCCACCTTTAGGCTTTTCCTACTATTGGAACATTTTCTTCCTGGAGGATTTTCTAAAGTTACAGTTGCACATATATTTTATTTCTAAGTCTCTCCTAGCCACTGCTTTTCCAAACTTAACAAAACCTAGTTTTTCTGATACAGAGGGAGATCTTTTTGACCTATTTTTTAGGTTATTGCACTCTTGCCTGAAGTCAGTTAAAAATAAAAGAACTGAGTTGTTTGATCTAGGTGAGAGATGAGTGCTTTTGACCACAGATGTGAGGAGACAATGGAAACTGTTCATTGCTTTTTCCTGGTTGCTTTTTTTTTTTTCCCCCTTTCATTGGCGTTTGGGTTTTCAGTGGATTAATGGCCAAGGAGTAACTCCAGTTGTACTGATCAGAGTACTGTTTCTTTTTCTTTCAGAGAATGAAATGTTTCTAATGTATTTTACCTTCCAGAAATGCTTGCCCTATTATTAGGAAATCTTAGGACAAATGTCTGTCTATAGAAATGGATGACTAAAAAAATTCATTTAATAGCTTTCAGATATGCAAATATCAAACATACTACTGGATTGAAACTGTGATGCAGTTTGTCCCAGTTTTCAGTACTCTCGAGTTCAAAATACCCCTAACTCTTTTCTCCTCCTCAGAAAAACAGTCAAGAGACAATGGCAGATGAAGGGTTCTTTGATCTACTGAGTCGATTCCAGAGTAACAGGATGGATGATCAGAGATGCTACTTCCAGGAGAAAAACAGATTCTCAGCTGCTTCAGTGGCAACATCTTCTACTCCTCCTAAAACAATGAGAAAATGTAATTTTTAAAAAGTAAAATCTGTATCTGACTCTAGTTCCTGTAAAATAAGATTAAAAAAATATATTTGCAGGCAAGACTTACTATGGAAAGGAGCTTATTTCTAGGCTAACTTGTTTTCTTCCTCCTCCACAGCCTTTTCTACTTCTGTAGTCTCACCCCACACAGACGAATTTCTGGACCTACTTGCTAGCTCGCAGAGCCGCCGGCTGGATGACCAGCGCGCTAGCTTTAGTAATTTACCTGGACTTCGTCTTACTCAACACAACAGTCAGTCAGTCCTGGGTCACCTCATGGCCAGTAACAACAAAGAACCAGACGACGACTTCTTTGATATATTGATAAAATGCCAGGTAAGTTTTTACAAAAATTCTTCAGCTTCTTTGGGGATTTGATTTGTGCATCCTGCTATTTAGTTTCAAGTCAGCCACCTTGTTTATCATATGTTTTAAGATACAAATTGATTTGATGGATAAGGAAGAACATAGAGAACAAAGAATAAGCATTTTTTTCCCCAAGGTTTTGGTTTTGTTTTTTTAACTTTCTCTTTCTTGTTTTCATTTTTTCCCCCAATGATCCAGTGTGTAGTAAGTGTAATTTTGGTATTTATACCACATTACCCATTTAAAGTAACAAATGCTGAAAAAGTGAAGGAAAACAACTGAGGCTATTGAAAGGAGTATGTAAAATCATTTTAAGAAAAAGTGTTTAGATCTGGCTTGCTAGGAGGGCACCGGATATCCCAGGAACCCCAACTAATCAAATGAAAGAATTCAGTATCGAAATTTCAGAGGCGATAGTGATCATCATTCCAATTATGTTAAGTTTAAATAATAGTTCATAGCAAAGTACAAGTGAGGTGTCCAGTTGTCAGTTAGAGCACGGTATGTATACCAGTTAGACCAAAAAGAATTAAATTAATTTAAAAGCCTTGGTGTTTTACCTGATGAGTTGATAAGGATCTCAAAATACAAGATTCAGATACTGAGTTCTCCAAAGGTAAGTATGTTGGCTTGGGTGGGAAGCAGCACCTGGAATTGAGTCTACTATGACAGTGTGCATCAAGAAAGATCATGTTTTGTTTAGCAGCTTGTCTGTCTGCTTCTCTGGGTCAAGCAAAGAACCTAGAGATTAGTATGATGAATTTTGTCTCTTCATGTGTACTCTCTATAGCAAACGTAACACAGTGCCTGACTGTGCTTACTGAGAAAGGAATGGAAAAATAGAATCCCTTCGGTCATCATGGATGCTACTGCTTTAAACAGAAGCACAAAAGTGCTAACTTTAGAGACTTTTTGTCCCAAAGATGACTCTGTCCAAGCTCCATCCACCACTGACGGCCGTGCGTCTCCCAAAGCGACTGTATTCCCCTCCCGCTAGCTCGGCGGTAGCCTGCTGCTGCTGAGAAATACTCATTCCCAGTGAAGGCAGGGGAGCTACTGTTGGTGGCTGCAGTCCCTGGCCTGACGCTTGTAAAATCTGACCGGGAGGGCGTGGCCATGTAAAGGGAGCATGGAAACTCTTGGAGCTGTTAGCGAACTGCTCTGTAACACTGGGGTTAAAACATACCAGTCCTTTCAGTTTGGAGAAAAACTTTCTCTAATAGTGCCTTTCCTAATCTGCCAAAAGTGGCTGGTTTTACTGCCTGTATAAGGAAAGGAAGACAAACATATTTTCTGTTGCAGGAGACTAGAAATAACAGGTATTAATGGTAAAATTCTTCTTCTGGACAAAGGACACTTAAATCTCATTCTGCAATATGAAAAAGAAATAAATTGGGCATTTTGTTTTCAGATACATGTGGACAAGGGATTTGTAGGACCCACTTTGGCTACACTTGCACTCTTAACTTACTATTTTCATTTGAGAAGTTTAACTTGAAACAAAACTTATTAGTTAAATCTTTGTAATAGCCTTAACTGTGAAAACAAAAGCTCTTAGTAATTCTTCACTTCTATTGTTCACTTATTTAATTACATGTATTCCTGTGAATATGCAGTGTTATTCCTTGGTCTGTCTGCAGGGTTCCAGACTAGATGATCAAAGATGTGCTCCTCCACCATCTGTGAAAGGACCAACTGTACCAGATGAGGATTTTTTCAGCCTGATTTTACGATCACAAGCAAAGAGAATGGATGAACAAAGAGTCCATTTACCTTCAACTATAAAGGGGCCAAATTCCAGCTGAAGAGAGAAACGGCACGTACTGTACAGTAGCATCTTGGGTATCATTTTTGTTTGCTGGAAAAACGTACCTGCCTTTTTACAGAGGACTGCAATTAGGTTTGTCCCCTTTCTAATCATTTTTTGTATAAATAGCAGCATCATCACACTAGTGACCAGTAGTTAGAGTTGCCGCTGCTTTGTGCGGTTGGCAGCTGCTTTTAGCAGTGTCTGAGATAACTGCCTCTAGCCTATGAACAGTAATAGGATTTTTTTCCCCTGTCAACGTATTCTCATTGCTGATGTGTGGACTCTACCACTGTCTCCAACTAGTGTAAGACCTAAATTTGTATGTTCTTTTTAAAGAAATTTTTTTTTTTTTTTTAATTTGTACCTCCCTGGAAAAAGGTCCTATTTTCTTTTATACTTTTTTTAAAAATTAAAAAAATAAAAACTGAGAAATAGCTTCAATACTTATTCTGTCTGATTTTTATTATACATTAAATTAAAAAAATTTAAACCTTACTTTTAATGCTGTTTAATACAAAAATAGTCTTTTAAAAACATGCTGGGGTTTTGGGTAATATTTACTTAAGTGTTTCCTGTATTAGCACAGTTTTACACTCAGAAGAATTTTTTATGACAGACTTGTTTTTAAGTAACATCTGCCAACGCTGCTCTACAGCTTGTGTGCTACATGGCCACCAGCAGTAGTACTCCACGCACCAGGGGTGGTAGGTGCTTGGCATGAACTGCCAGGGATGTCAGGTCATTCCTGCAGTGAATGGATGTACACTGCTTGTTACTTGACCTCAACTACTTCTCCTTGTCTTCGTAAGGACATGCAATGCTGGGGTAGTTCTTGGGAACAATAGTTTTATCTCAGTCTTCACCTCGGTGGATACCTGTACTGAGGCAGTTCTCGGGGACCCTGAGGGCTGTATGTTGCTGTGAGCGTTAAGTATCGTGAGAAGCCGCTGGTTATGACACCTAAGGTGGCAAACTGTTCACTTCGGGTATTTGTAAACTAAGTGATGTCATTTTTTAATTGAAGTATTATACCCCTAGAGAAGAATCTACAGTTAATTTTATTCTTAGAATGCTGTTTTACTCTGAAGGTAGTTGGAGAGACACAGGCTCCACATAATTAAAACTATTTTACAATTACGCAAAGTTTTACAAATACTCTCTTGCAGCGTTTTTAGCACTGAAATTGAATTCTACTGAAACTAAAACTGCCCTCCTGCTTTTTAAGGAGAAATGCCAGCCTATTCTCTTCCAAAACCCATGTGTTACTATCTGTTTATCATGCTGATCTTTGGTACTTAGTGCTTCCTGTTCCCTGTTCAGCTTTGAGTTGCCCTAAAAAACATCAGCTGATACATCAGCTTTTCACTCCTCTGCAAATTATTAAACGAGAGCAAAATCATCAAGCTGTCCTAAAACTGAGCTGACAAGCAGGAAACTGAGTTTAAAGAATACAAAACAAAAGACAGTCCTGAGACATCTATTTGAGCTGTGATTAGTCTTATATAAATTACATGAATATCAGCAGCTTTCTTCAGGCTGTTTGATCTTGTCCACTTGAAGTTGCATCATCTTACTTAACAACATGTTTATTTCAGAGTCTAGAAGTAGTACGTATACTCAGTCTCTCGGTTTTTAAAACTCTACCTCCGTTACAGCCATGCTTACTAGTGCTGTGACTAAAGCCGAGTTCCCAGCAGCTTACTGATGCTCGATTTTCCACCTTTGAGCACTAGAGCAGAACTAGCAAGTATGTAACAACTAAAGATTAGACAAAACTTACAGTAGAGCTTGGGGCCTCCTTAGTGTCCTTCCTGTGAGTCAGGTGAAGGGCGCTCTTTCTTCTCTCCACATGGCTCCATTGCGGAACTTTTCCCTTCTAGGTTTTTATTAGGATCACAATTTTCTCCAGTCTCTTGCTCTGCTTTGCCTGTCTCCTGTTTCTGCTGTTCAAGTGCATGTTCTTCAGTAAGACTTTCAGCTCTGATAGTTTCTAGTCTACAAGCTTCAGACTCAGTGTGCAATCTATTCTGTAAAAATTAATAATAAGCCATTAATCAAGCAATCCGAAGTGATAGCATCTATTGCTTCAGGTGCATCTTGGCTGAAGGAGCAGAACTCCCCCAAAGCACGACTGGTATCTTTTTCTCCTGGGAAACATGTAAATAAGCACAACCTAGAGCGTAAGTCTGTTTTTAATTCTCTATAGTTTACAGAAAAGTCAGCATTGCTTCTTTTCCCCGCCTCTCCTCTGTGGGTAGTTGTTATTGCTCAGGCTGACATGACATTAAGTACTCATCTCTCAAAACCGAAGTTATTTAAGTCTTTACTATAAAATAGTTTTAATTCAGTAGTTTCCTGCCACCGGTAGCCATTGCACAGTATTTTTCCAAAAGAAAATGTGCCCAAGATACCTCTACAGAACTGTTCTGTAGGAGAACAGGTACTTCCTTAACTCGTCTCTCCCCAAGATTTGGCTTAAGGTTGTTGTTTAAACATGTTCTAGCAGATGATATCAAAATCTATTACATTTAATCCCAGCTCAAAGAGCACTAGGACTAACATACACGAGGTTCTGGTTTGAGAGACTCTTCTACTTGCGTGTCAGGCTTGTTGCTTATATGCATGATGTCAGGACTTTTGCTGCCATTTCCTGGTCTCACAGGAGCATCTCCTCTCTCATAAGGTCCTCTATAAACGTACGGAAGCTTTTGCAAATAATCTGATTTACTCCCATCATGTTGTCCAAAGTCTATTTTCTCCTGTTGACTGTCAGGTGGAGGAAGGCTTTTCTTCTGAAAAGATGTTAAGTATCTTAACATAGACACGGACGATCCCGCACCATAGCAGAAAGCCTGCGGGAGGGAAAGAAAGAAAAAGAAAAAAACCCAAGAAAACACTGAATATTTGCAGCCTAGGGTTTTGACAGAGAAGTCAGAGTCACGTATCTGAAAAATACAGCAAGAAAAGCTCAGGTGATCAGAACGGCTACAATAAAATGCAAGCTTTCTGCAGTCTGACCACGCTGCAGGAACTGCCAGGCTGTAGTTCATCTTTGGTGCTGCAGTAAAGATGCTGAAGGCTCTAACTTAATGCTTTCGTGTACAAAATGCCAATTGTATGCATCGTTGTGTAATGACGCAAATTAAAAATGGGAACTAAGCTGCAATGAACTGCTTTAAGAGTCTGGTATTTCAAGCAGTTTCGTACTACTTTATCCCACTTGGGGAGTGGGGGGGGGCGATGCAGTTTAAATACAAACTTACCTATTTTAATTGCTAAGCCAACTGTACTATAAAGATTTTGTCAAGAAAAAATTTCCTCACAGAAATAATTATTTCATCTGTGCTAAGAAATCTGTTCAGTAGTACAAATAAGAAATAAATAATATAACAGATAATAATACTTAAATATAAATAAGGATAATATATAACAAATAAAACTGAGCTTTTAAATAGAAGGTAAATATATACAAACCAGGACAGCCAGAGCCATCATGATTAGCACTGGAACCTGCAGAATAAATGGTATCTCCTTCATAAGTGCTTTGATGAATTCACCAATACCTTGTCCCACGTGCTTTAAAGGCTCAGTTACAAAGTTGGTGAAAGTAATTGCCAATGCCTAAAAAAATACAAATAGAAAAATAGTGTCATCACTGGTTGCAACCATAAACACGAGCAGTCTCTTTTGGCTTGGCCTATACCTTTGTCGGTGGAACCAGCAGAACAGGGTTTACTAGTAGAGTTTCGTAGTACTTCTGACAGGGATCATCCTGAAACGTCCATTTACTTCTCAGCCATTCTGTAGTCAAAGCAGAGACGTATTCTTACTACTTTTTAAAGACGTATTTTATGACACAGTAGTACTACAGAAAGTAGCATTTCAATTACAGATAGAAGAGAACTCTTCTAGCTATGGCTTAAAGCCCAGATTTATTTTTTAAAATCTGAGATTAGCTTGGCAGTTTAGTTTATCCACTCACGGGGATGCAGGAAGGAGGGAAGGCTGGAAAGAAAGAGGAGAACCTGAGGTTTTCCCATGTTCAGTCAAGAAAGTTCTCTTTATTAGATGAACTTAGTCCCTAAAAGCCTCAGAAAGTAAAGAAAAATAAGTCTTCTCTGTGGGAACTATTATCTAGCACACTTTGTCCACAGCTACTGAAACAAGTAATTCTGAGCGTTATTGTTCATGTGCCAGGCTGCAAGTAGGTCAAAAATGTGTATTTTGCTTTCTAGATTTGAAGAGACTATTTTAGTTATAAGCAGAAAATATTACTCCTTTTGGGAACTTTAAGTTACAAACAAGTAATTTATGACATCAGTGTTTCTGTAGTTTGATTTTAGTGCAGCCAGAACATAAACGATTAAATTTGACATAAACAAAACAACCACAGCCATATAGATTCTAAAGGGAAGTCCATAAGCAGCGCTCACTAGGAGTTGCCATCATTAATCTACCTGCTATAGCACTGGATAATAAATAACAGCTAATAAAAAATTCAGCTGTCTCTGTCAAATAACGGAACTAGAGTAAGTAGTTACAGATCTAGTTTGTGAGTCCATTTCACTCACAGGCCTGGAAGATGACAAAAAAATAAGTCTTTTTCTTGAATTCTGCCCTCCTATCTTCAATAAATGGCAGTGGGGGAAGGGACTTGGGGGAACACTCATGGGGTAAGTTATAGAGAAAAGAAGTAACAGCATGACATGCTGTAAGCAGAGTTTTGTGATTAGCTCTCCTTCAAAGGCATAGTGAAGAAGGTCTTGTGGAATGGCAAAAAATGGTAAAACCACGTAATCATGTATTGCTGAAGAAGATTCAATGTACTCATTAGAAATCAGAGTATTCTTGGATATTATTACTGAGTATTTTGTGATCTTAAATACTATTACAAAATAATGAAACGGGTATTTACCAATAAGACTTTCCCCCCAGTCTAACTTCTCAGCACAGATGTTATCAAACTGCCCCATTTTCGCAATTTCTGCTTGATGCTGCGCGAAGGCCAGCTGCAGGAGAGTAAGAATTACTTGTAAAACATAGAACAAGGTGGTGCTGGGCACAGAACACCTGCGTCCATGCAGCACTGCACCTGAGCTAGCCATGTTTGCTCTTAGCAGGTTTGGGTAACTACCTGGGTTAAATCTGTATTAAGACAAGTTTGCTACCTAGACAGTTATAACAGAGTTAAATTCTAAGTACTTTCTGGGAATGGACAAAGACTACCAAGATGGCTATCCCTCAGTTATTCTCCAAATGGCGTCTGAATTACCCAAACAGCAAACTTCAATATTCAAAGATAGAAGTTCAGGGCAAGAGTAATCCGACGTGTTGTTTCCTTAAAATGTTTCTGGTTTAAAAACAGAGACGGCTGCCATGCAATTACTAATTAAAACATCAGGACATTCTCTGTTATTTTTTAAATAATTCCCATTAACAAATACCTGTATTCACTATAATTTTACTTTATAGTTTGCAACTGATAATATAATAGAAAAAATTAAGTCAAATCATCTGTTGAAAAACTCTCACATTCTTCACTGACTCAGTCTAAGTCCTCCGCAGGGCAGAGCCATCCTCCTCTCTGGCACTCCACTATTCCTGGGTCTGACAAGCTGCAGTTAAATTCTGATGACAAGATGTGAGGACTGAGATTTTGTGGTTGGGCTATGACCTAGCAGCATAAATTCCTCCTCATTAAAACCAATACTGTTGTACAGTCAGCTACTTTGTCACCATTAATGAAGCATGTATCTCTGGTCTGTCACTCGTTAAATACAGTTTTAGCCAGGGAATCTTTAGAAAGAAAAAAAACCCCAAAACCCACAATGTATTTTTGTAAGACTCTCCTACCAAGCTGCTTTAGATAAGGTTCATGTCTCCCTTGCCCACACAGTGAAATCACAGTTCTACTGCTTTATGAATTTTATGCACCTCTTGTGGCAAGATAAAAGTTGGCAGGGTTTCTTTAAGCCTAATACACCTGTCAACATGGAAAATAAAACATGAAGCCCTTTATTTATTTTGTTGGCAATTGTTGTTTTATATAAACTAACTAAAAGAACCAGATAACCTTAACTCCCTCCTAACTGTAAAATTTTAAGCCTAAAAGCCATTAAGATTTCAGAGCCACTTACCTTATACAAGTAGAGCCAATTCCATGCAAAACTGATGAGAAAACTTATTAATAAAACACGTTTTAGCTGAACAAACCAATGAATATGTGTCCAGAGCTCTGTAGCTATTACAACTACAACGCACACTAAGCACAAGAGTATCTGAAAAAGAAAACAGGAGAAGACCATGATCCAGATTTGGAATTTTCCCAGGTTAACTGCCAGCACCCATGAAGTAACTTTCAACTTTTGTTTTTACTAGTGTCATTTACACAGAACAGTTGAGAGAATTTTTCCTTGCTTTCACAGCACCTCTGCAGCAGTACAAGGCAGAAAAGTTTCATGGTATCACCAGCAGTCATTCCTAGCACAGCCTTACATTGCAGTTGGTCATCTTTCTTGTGATACTTAGTTGTTTCCTTACAATATTTATCACGTTACCTACCATACTTTACAATTACAAAATTGATGTAATTCAGTGCTTCAGTAGTATGTGCCTGGTATGAACCACAGAAGCACTGCTGCTTAAGTTTGGTTAAGAGACAAAGTTACAGTTTGGCTTACAGCAAGAGTTCAGAGAAGCACCTTAGTGTCTCTCTGTCTGAGGATCCCTAACAGCGAGGTTACACTACTGACAGCTTGCTTTTTCATTTGGCTTCCACAGACCCCCTCAAAACTACACAGGGACAGGGTACTTTGAAAATCATGCCAGCATAAAATGTTAGCATATTCTGAACTGTACAGATTTATTCAGAGACCTTCAGCTTATTAGAGATCCTCAGCTTAGCACTTTGTAATTCCATTTTAGAAAATACGCCATTTTCACATAGTCATGCTCTCCTCTCCAACAATATAAAATTTTTTCCCCACAAAATATGTAAAACCCTCTAACTGATAAAATCTAAGACCTCAAATATATACTTGTCTCAATACAAGTATGTTCCAGTTGAACAAGAGACAAATCTGGAAAATTTGTAACGTATGAGTTGTCAGTTTAAGTGAGATGAGAGTACTAGAGTCTGATGAATCATGCAACACAGATATAAAAGACAGGAAGAGAAAAAGAAAGCATACCAGAAAAACACGCAAAGCTACAGTAAGAAAAGATAACCCCAGGAATGAAAAACTTCAATTCTTACTTCAAGTGAATATATCGTCTCTACCTTCAGCAACCATAAAACAAAAAGAGCAACTCACAGTAAGTCTGATGGAAAGAATAGCTTTACACATGGAGTTAGGATGGTAGTACTCATTGGCTAGACTTGCACAAAGAAACTGGAGAAAACAGCGATTAAAAAACAAAACCTCCCTCCTTCTTCTCTTACCAGAAACAGATTATATAGATCAATTCCAAAAGTGTCTTCAAATCTCCAGTGCCAATCTTTATAATCATGGCGTTTAAAATTGATCAAAATATCACTAAGTGCATCATCCACAGCACCTGACTGCCAAGTTTCTTCATTGAGAAACCGGAGGATCTCCAAATATGTCTGTTTTGTAAGGATGATCTCAGCGTCGTAGTGGGTGTGGCCCACATTCTCCTCAGGCTGAATTAGAAGCAAAGCAAAACAATGGTTAAAAGCTGCTTATTTTGAAATAGGAGTACATAGAAAAAACTGCATCCCTATGCAAAAACCTGTTAAATACCCGCATTACGTACCAGCACCGTTTTGGAGCAGAATGCAGGATGAAGACATGGGACAGGGAGCACACACTATGATTCTATAACCTTTTTGTTCATTCTTCTAAACTATATAGAACATGAATTCAGCTGATGTGTACTCTTTCAATTCTACAGCAAAAACCTAAAAAATGAAGTGGGTTATCTCACCTGTTGTTAAAATTTTAGAACCACTTCTCATTAACCAGTATTAATTACTAATGCGCTATAATTGCCCTGATCATGGCTGGGTAATACAGACAGAAACTATTACATACTGCAATAAGAAATTTTACATTGCTAAGTATAATGTTCTTTGTTTTTATTCCTCTACCTCTGAATAGGAAAAAAAAAATCTCCAAAGACAATGAAAGTAAGTAATTAGGCAATTCTTATATGCAAACTCTAATAAGCTGCTATTCCTAGACAGTTAACGTGGTAGTCTAAAACAAAGGCCTGTAAGGTCTAACAACAAACAAAATCTGGTCTCAAGTTTAACAGCCATTAACATGAACTGAACAGGGTATTACTATGGCTGCTCCCCAGCAATAGGTATTTAGATACATGCTCTGAATTCACATAGCCTTCCTTTGGATGCTTTACAGATCAAATGGCAACTGTCTCCTGAGCAAACACTGCTAACGAACAGCCATACTGGATGCATATCTTTTTTTCCTTTGCGATTCAGTTCCCCTCATTAAAGTAAGCCAGAATAATTAATCTATACTTGGTAACTGTGAAAAACACATAAAGTAGTAATATGAATTTTAATTAATTTTTAATGAATGTTCAGATACTTACAAGGCCAAGTTTTCCAGCTTCATTTAAAATCTTATTCAAGTATCGTTTAAAAATATAAAAGCTACGGCTTTCACGTGATTTGGCATTCCTCTTCTCACATTCTGCAATCTGCAATGTAAAGACATTTTATTCACTTCATGCTCAAACCAACCTGTTCACAGGAGAAATAAAAAACTACCAACACATTAAACTCGGGATTAACAGAGGCATATTTTTTTAGTTTAGCAAGAATCCTGTGATTAGTTCACCAGATATAAAGCGTATGCAGTTGCTGAAGATACTACTTTCCATGGGACTGGAAATCTCCACTACTGGCGATTTCAGATCTTCTAAATAATATGGTTTGAATACTGACCTGAGTAAACCTAGAAAAAAACTAAACATCTGGATGTCCTTCAA